CATATGGTTCTTCGGATAGTCTTTGCAATATAGGAAGCGCGAAAGCAAGTGTTTTACCACTGCCAGTTTTCGCACAACCGATGCAATCATTGCCACTTAGGATCCTTGGTATACAATTTTGTTGAATCGGCGTGGGGCACGTTAAACCTGAAACGAACAATAACAACAACGACAGTAACGATACTTTCGCGCGTGATCATTACCCATCAATCGTTCGAATTATTACCCATGAAACTACATTGTTCGACGAGCCACGAACTTAAATTTAACGCGGCGAACGTCATGATTGCGAAACGCGTGAAATATTTCGATCGTTCGAACAACGATTTTATAAAAGATAACCTCGATAAAGATCTTGGTAAATCGCGCACAAGATCACAGCATTGGCAACACGCGCAACAATTATCAACAACTAATCGATCGAACAAAGATTCGTATCCAAAACTGTGCACGAATTTTACCGGACACGCTTCACGGACAGATTCGGTTTCGATCGAACTACTTCAAGCGTAGTTTGAAAAAGATCAAACGTCAAAAAGATCTTTGCACTTTACACGCGAAGTGGAACATAACTCGATACAATCTAAAATTCACAAATTACATTCGAAATACAACTCTAAAAATTCGTGAATCGTTCGAGTCAATCGAGCCTGTTTGCGACCAAAGATTCGATCGATTCGCGAGCACGAAACTCGAACGCCACGTAACGGCGAAACAGCGGCATTAACCGCCGTTATCCCCGTCGCACGATATCGCGTTTCTCGTCTCGTTCGACCGCCGCGACGCAGCACAGACTAAAAGTGGCAAAGTTAGTCGACGGTGTTGGAGAAAGAACACCAGACGAGAACGAGCTACGCGCTACCAAGAAAGACTCGTCGGAACGTCGCATCATCATCAACCGGTGAACGCAACGCGCGCTCGATCCACGGACGATCGTCAACGAACATTTTCTTCGTTCTTATCGACCACGATAGGCGGTAGCACTTGCACTCTCGTCGCAGCGACAGCTACGCCAGCTACGTCCGACTCTCGGCGTGTAACATCGCGCGAGAGTCCATCTCGGACGAAAGTTTCGGCGCCGGTTTTGCCGCCGCCGGGCTCTACGGGAAGCGGGAAAATCAACGAAGGTCGGCGTCGCTACGGAGACTCTAGGTTCGAAAGTTTCAAAGTTGAAAGAGATCGTTGAAAGTAGAAGAGTCACGAGTCGAAGCTCGAACGGTCGGACGTCTCGAGGTTCGAAATTTCGCAAGTTGGACAACCTCGAGTTCCCGCGACCGCGAGTCGGAGAATTTCCAGTCGAGAATCTCGTCGTCTCGTCGTTGCTCGTCGTCGTTGTCGTTCCGTCGTTCGTATCGTTGTCGTTGTCGTCGTTTC